GTCAACGGTAGGTGCTCGATTCATGTTCGGTTGAGATGTCAATTCTGCTGGGTTCGTTTGTTGCGGTTTTGTGCTCGGAAGAGAAAGTGGGATGGGGAGGAATTTTATGGGTGATCTTTTTTGTCATTGGTTTTTGGTTAAGGTGTGAAGGTGTAAGGAGACGTTGTTGCGCTGGGTTTGTTGTTTCGGGAAGTAAGAAATATATTTATGTCTGGCCTTTAAATTTCCCGTTTTCTGTGGGGAGTCGCACTCAAAGAAAATGAGAACTTTCATCATAGACTATTAAAAAAATCTAAGGATTCTGTAGGATAGCAAAATACGTGCATATAAACACTTAAACGCTCATGTACACGCACACGGACACGCACACGCACACGCACACGCACACGCACACACACAAGTACACGCACACGTACACGCACACGCACACGGAAATGTACACGTATGCGCACACGGAAATGTACACGTACGCTTACACGCACGCACACGCACGCACACGCACACGCACGCACACGCACACGCACACGCACACGCATACGGACTCGCACATAAGTATGTGTATATATTATATATATATGTATGTGTGTGTGTGTGTGCGTGTGTTGTGTGTGTCGTGTGTGTGTGTGTGTGTGTGTGTGTGTGTGTGTGTGTGTGTGTGTGTGTGTGTATGTGTGTATGTGTGTATGTGTGCGCGCGCGCGCTTCCAAGTAGGTGTCCTGCTACTTTGAAAACATTTTGAACACCCCGATATATACATACATATAGGTAGTCACACATTTTCCGTACATGGGCAGGCAAAACTGTTGCACTGAGAATTTTGTTTTGTTATTTTGTTGCATAACAAGGAGAAGATCGCATGTATTTGGAATTTGTCGGTATCGTGTATCTAGTGATACAGCAGTCTTGCCTCCTGAGACTGACATTGAATGATATGATAAGAAATTCACGGGACAAAAGGCGGAAAAGCACAATTATTCCGTCGCATTCCGCTCCACTTTGCACTCAGGATCACAAAGCAATTTGGTTACGAAACCGTGTTAGCGATTTCTGATAAATCCACTCGGTCCGATTTTTAAGAAAGTTTGAAAAAAAATCAGCCATTAACACTAATTTCAAATGGTGTTATTATAAGACCAGGTACTGAATATGTTATTTTTTTTTTTTTACTGGACACTTATCACTCGAACTGCATTGCAACTATAAAAACCTCAACAACTCTGCCATTCAACTGCTCAAGTGTTTATGAAGAAATTTATGACAATTTTTTCACTGGTTTTTGAAGATATCTTTAGTACTTTTACCACAATTTTGTAAAATATTGCGGCTAATGGAACATTTGCGAGATTTTAAGATTCCTAGGATTTCCTGGAGATTTTCCGGATTTTCTCTGAATTCCTGAAGGACTTCCGTTTTTACCGGATTTCCAGGTAGGGTGTATGGGCTTTCCGAAGTGAAATGCCCTTCGCCCAGATTCTAAGAGACTGGAATTGGTCGCGTCGTCCTTGGAGAGTTGAAAATTATATTTAGAATATGGTTACCCTTGCGGTGTTTCATTTTCTTTAGACCGAAACAATAAGAAAACGTGCAGACAGAATCAATACAATACGATGTTTTCGTTGTTTTATGTTTTCTTTGAAGAAAAACAAAAACAAATCTGTAACGGATATTTATTATGTATTATGCTTGCAGAGCATCTGCAGCTATGTCGATCAGAACTCTTTCATCTCTCTCTCTCTCTCTCTCTCTCTCTCTCTCTCTCTTCTCTCTCTCTCTCTCTCTCTCTCTCTCTCTCTCTCTCTCTCTCTCTCTCTCTCTCTCTAGCTATCTTTGTGTTCTATCTTCTGTCTGTCTGTCTGTCTGTCTGTCTCTCTCCTCTCTCTCTCTCTCTCTCCTCTCTCTCTCTCTCTCTCTCTCCTCTCTCTCTCCTCTCTCTCTCTCTCTCTCTCTCGTCTCTTTCTCTCTCTCTCTCTCTCTCTCTCTCTCTCTCTCTCTCCTCTCTCCCTCTCCCTCCCTCTCCCCTCTCCCTCTCCTCTCCCTCTCCCTCTCCCTCTCCCTCTCCCTCTCGCCCCCTCCCCCTCCCCTCTCATTCCCAATCCCTCGCCCTTCTCCTTCCTCTCCCTCCTCCTCCTCTCTTCCCATTCTCTCCTCTTCTCATTCTCTCTATCCCTCTCCTCCTTCTCATTTCTCTTCCTCTCAGTCCTCTCTCCTACTCCTTCCTCTCCCTCCTTCCTCCTCTTCCTTCTCTCTCTCTCCCTCTCTCTCTCTCTCTCTCTCTCTCTCTCTCTCTCTCTCTCTCTCTCTCTCTCTCTCTCTCTCTCTCTCTCTCTCTCTCTCTCTCTCTCTCTCACTCTCCCTCTCTCTCTCCTCTCCTCTCCCTCTCTCCCTCTCCCTTCTCTCCCTCTCCCTCTCCCTCTCCTCCCTCTCCCACTCCCTCTCCTTCTCAGAAAGAATGCCAGGACCCATATCTGCGATCTTAATACCAGGCATCAGAGCTCATTATTTGAAATTTATGAATCAGATTCTTCACCCCCCCCCCCCCCCCCCCCGTATCGTGACCTGTGCTTGCAGTCTCTTGTGATGAATGCTGTGATTACGATGGTATTTCGAGTCATGTTGTTATTTATAATACGTTGCAAGAAAGTTCTTTAACAACAAGGCCATTCTGCATTATTAAATGATGGTAAGGAGTGTACACTTTATAGAAATCCTGTTGATAGCTAGGGATAGCTGATAAAAAGATATTTTTCCTACAGGTTATTGCATATTATACCTGTCCTGGAATTTCTTCCTTTTACAAGATCAATCGCACTGCCTTTTTTTTTATTACAGGAAGGAATGTGTTATCGCGTATCCTATAGGCTGTAAACATCTGGTATGAGATGCAGAAGATATAAAGAAAAATGGATATATAAAGAAGGATTGCCGTAGAAGTAGACAGAATAGAAATAAAGCTTATGAATTCTGTAAGGAGGTGGTTGGTTGTAGATAACGGAAAGGATACATCACACTGTTCAGACATGAAGGGAACTGGATATAACGTACAAGATATAGTCACTACATCTGGATCTTGCCGTCTATCGAGCTAACGAAATGAATCTATCTGTCCCTAACGCCATTCGTACTTACTACGATCCGGAAGTGAACCAAAACACGATTTCTCATCAATATAAATTGCCCAAAGGGTTAATCCATGTAAAGCGAAGAGATCCAGGAGCCATATCTTGAGGATGTTTACACGCGGCTTCCTGATGGGATATTTCTTATGGCATTCGTTAGGTCGAAGTCTCCGCCATCCTTCCTTGGGTGTGGCGCTCTTGGCCGAGACCGCCGTGTGTCGGGTTCGCTTCTCGTTGTTTGTTTACATTTTGGCCTTTGGGGTGATGGGCCGCTCGTGGGGTTCAGATGTGGCTTTTCGTGTTTTTTGGGGGTGTTTTTTTAGGCTTATATTCTTCTTCTTTTTAAGATTTTCGTGTTTTTTGGGGTGTTTTTAGGCTTGTATTCTTCTTGTATTGTTTTTAGGCTTGTATACATCTTCTTCTTTTTAAGATTTTCGTATTTTTTGGGGGTGTTTTTAGGCTTGTATTTTTCTTCTTTTTAAGATTTTCGTGTTTTTTGGGGGTGTTTTTAGGCTTATATTCTTCTTCTTTTTAAGATTTAGGGGATTGTTTGTATTTCGTGGTTGGTTTGCTTTGGTTGTTGTTCGTTATTTGTTTGGTGTAGACTTGCTTTTGTGGTTTGTTTGTGTTTGGCTTCGGGTATTTTAAGAGTCAAGTTTATCCCGTCAATGCATTCGGTATTCTTCAGTCTCTCTACTCCTGTCTTTCATCATCCTCAATTTCTACGCTCCGTTGGGTTTATTCATTTATTTATTCATTTATTTCCCCCCTCTTCGTTCTTTTGATTCTCGCTCTTCCCCTTTCTTCGTTTTCCATTGTTCCATTTTTTGTTTATTTTCTTCTTCTCTCCTCGTTCGCTTTTCCCCTTCCTCTCCATCTGTTATCTTTGTTTATTTCCACATTTCTTGACCTTCTGCCAAGCTCTTTCTTGTCTCGCCCCCTTTATCCAGCTTCGCTTTGTTCTCTGTTCGTTGTGACAGGACCCTCTGTTTTCATTTTCAATTTTCTTGTATTTTTTGCTTTTTCTTCCATTGTTTTTATTATTATTATTTGTTGTTGTTGCTTTGTTTGCTCTTTCTTCTTTTGTTGTTTTAGTTTTCTTGTTTTTTATTTTTTATTTTTTAGTGTTGTTTTTTTGCTTTCTCGTCCTTTGTTTTTTTAGTTTTCTTGTTTTATTTTATTTTTTTTATTTTTTGTTTTTTCTTCCTTCCTTTGTTTTTTAGTTTTCTTGTTTTTTTCTTCGTTTCCCTTGCTGTGTTTTATTTATTTATTTATTTTTTAGATTTCTGTTTTTCCTTTGCCATTTTACATTTTCTTTTTATTTACTGTTCCATTTGTTTCCCCTTTTCCTCTTGTCTTTCTTCTCTCATTCCGCTCCTTCTCTCTGTTATTGATCTCTCTTTTCTCCCTTTTATTCCTAATCGAACCAAACATTATTAATCTTTATCCCATATTCTCTTTCGCTTCTCTTCTCACCCTTTGTGTAGGAAAAGTTCAATGTTTATTTTTTTTTCGTTTACTGTTCTTTGATGTTCTTCTGTTAATTTTTTTCGTTCATTATCTTTCTTGTTGTATGATTTATTTTAGTTTTTTTTCATTAATTTGATTTTTCGCATTTTTTCGTTATTTTAATCTACGTTCACGTTCTCTCATCCATTTTAGTTCTTATATATATATATATATGTATATATATATATTTTTTTTTTCATCATTCATATCAGTTTTCATATTGTAATCACTTTAGTTTTCATTTTTTTTTTATTATTTATTTCATTAAGCTTTGTTTTTGAAATTTATTCCGACTTTCATTGCTTCTTCATGTTCCCCTCATCCTCTTTCCTCCCCACGCACACGCACACGCACACGCACACGCACACGCACACG